AAACCTATCGATGCTATGTCTTTAAGTGATTGTATGAATCAATTGAATTAAGTTTTGAATTCTACATTATATATATTATCATATAAATAACTTATATATATATATTATCATATAACTTAGAAATGAAATACCATGCCTGCTCAAATTATGCAAGCCAACCACATAAAATACCAATGGTCTACTAGTTATAAGACCATTTCTGACTTGTTGTAGCCCTAAAACATTGAATAATTTATCATCTTATAGACTTTAAATTTCTTCACAAATAAGTCTTAACTTCAAATTATTGCAACAATTAGAAGCCTGCTAGGAGGACTTGTGACATTTTCTGACCTTTTTATACTAATCAAGTTATCACCTTATCTTATATGCAAAGAAAAATGTATGTGGTGAAGATGATGATAGATTGCTAATTCCGCAAGCTTGCACAAGACATCACCATGCGCCCTAAGCTTGGTTCCATAATCTTCATTAAATTAAGAAATTTCAGCTTTATTTATGAAAGCCTTGTGGAGATTAATATCAAATCTATGAGATATTGTTCGTATACACCAAAGTTTGATGATTTTATCTTACAAAAAGTACTTCACAAATATGGATTTAAATTTCAACATTTGTATCCTAATAAATCTTCATAATATTTTGATATAGAATTGGGACGATACAACCCTAATGTGTTCTTACACATGCTAAGAGGCTGGTATGATTTTACTTGTATATTTTTGAGCTGACTGACAAACATATGGAGAAGCATCCTTCGAAAAATGAGATTAGGGCAGATCACGGGTAGATCTTATGGCAATAATGGTTTCTTTTTTTTTTTTTAATTTAGTAAATAACAAAGCAAGCTCCAAATTTTCCCAACAATAGGTATAATTTTATTAATATAACTCTGAAGAATTAAGACTTTAGGGGGAATCATTTAAGTTAATACTTGACATAAGAGTAAGGCCTGCACTGCATTTTCAATACAATAATAAAGTAGAGCAAAAATATATTATTATTTTCTTCGATTTCCTGATTTAATGATTAAAAAAAATTTAAAAGACTTGTAAGTTGAGAGTTTGAATTATACCATTTATATCCATTCATTATATTGTAAATGAAAAAAAGTTTACTGTTATTATATATGTTATGGGACCAATAAAATTAAATTTAAATGGGTCCACTGAGAATTTTGATCAGTCAAGTTTGATCAATGGTCAACATTAATTTCCCACTTAAAAATGAGAAGGGCAATAACTATAGCTACAATTTTAGCTTAAAATATTGTCCAAATTTGATTCTTTTATGAACAAAAACATAATTGAGGACATGAATTAAAATATCTTTGACATAATTTTTTCTTTAAAAAAAACAATATGTATTTTTGGTATAGATATTAAAAATATTTGTAATTCCTAAAGTATTATATAGATTCTAGTAATCTTTAATTTGATAATTATTAAAGTGTTAAATCTATATTTGTGATGTAGATATTAAAAAAATTTTTTTTTTTGATTAATGTTCAGAATAATTGATTTATTTGAATCTCAATGTGTATTAAATTAAAATTTTGACCAAGGAACAAAATAGGAAAATGCTCATAAATTGAACATATTATGAATTTTTCCATTAGGAAAAGAAAAGAAGAAAAGTATGAGAGAGTTATCACTTGGGGTAACCATCTTTAACTCATGAAATTGATTATGAGCACCTCTTTCTTTCACATGAAAATTAATGCTAAGAAGAGAATAAACAAAGGGTCACAATTCACAAGCACCACCTTAAGGTGATTAAGTTCTCATAAATGTGAAAGAAAGTCAATGACTCAAGAATTAATTATAAACAAAATTAAATAAATTGTATCACAGATTCATGATTTTTGTGCAACATTTTTATTTTCTTTTGCTCACTTTAAAATTCAAATTTTGTATTGGCCACTTTTTAAAAATATTTAAAATTAATATATTTTTAACTATTATTAAAATTTAATGAAATTTACCACTAATTATGTATATGTCTTTGACTTTTTAGATCAAAATTTTTGTTATATGCACATTCAAATGACATTGACGTGATATATTTCATTAAAATTTTAACAATGATTGATGAAATTGATAAATTTGAAATATTTTTAAAAAGTTATGTTTCTAAAAATTGAGTTTTTAAAAACCACAAATGAAAAATTCAAACAAAATGAAAACTTAAATAGAAATTGCTTAAAGCATCCTAGCTAATTTAATAAAAATAGAATGTTGATTGCCTATGACCATGATGTCCATAAAAAAAAAAATGTACTTATATATGATCATATTTAAGCTACAAGGGTGACAATCATGTGGAAAAGGAAACTTTAAAAAGTGGGTTAATCTAACATTCCATAACCATGAAAAGAATGAAAAGAAAAAGAGAAAAGAAAAGAGAGAACAAAGAAGGCATATGTAATCAAGTGAGAAAAAAAAAATATATTAAGATTTTGGACTTTTGGGAAGGATTGAGTGGAATTGCTTTATCAACAACACATCCCTGATTTTTAGGTCGTATCACGTGAGGATGGGAATCCAAATTTTGCCCACACCTAACCAAACCAAAAACCTAATATAAAAAGTGTTATAAATTTTTTATTTTAATAATATAATAATTCTCTAAAAGAAGCAACATTATATTAATTAATAATTGAATAAAAGTAAGGTCTTAATTAGTATTTTAATTTTCATTCAAGACTATATCTTGTAGTTTTAGACTTGCCATAATTACATGATATAAAAATATAAAAATTATACAATTTTAAAAAATTGTATATAACTTTAATAAAAGTTAAAAATATATATTTCATATTTAACATGTCAATATTAATTATGGTACCATTATTTTTTATTTATTTAATACGGAACAATGCGATATAAATATAAAAATCATCTTATCTATTTAGATCATATTTGGTATATAAAATGATGGATAGGATATGATAATAATTATTTTATATTATATTTAGTTTGTATATAAAGTAAATGATAGAATTATAGGAAAGATTAATCATATTCTTGATATAAAAAAATTTAATCTTCTCAAAATTAAAAAAATTATTTTTAATTTATGAAATTAAATTTATATATCTTATTATACATTTAAAAATTATATTAATAATTTAAATTACATATATCAAATATAAAATAAAAAATATTATTTAATTTAATTTTATTCTATCATATTATAATCTTATATATTAAATATATCTTTTAACGTCTAAGTTCCCCCATTTAAACTACTAATTTAGTACAACAAGGAGCCAAAGAAAAATAAAGCAAAACGGCGCTGCTGCCTCCTCAGCCTCCCCTATTTTAAGGGTCGTGGCCTCGGGAGTTTCCCATAGGAATCTATGCACGTTCTGTTTCTCACACAATCTCCAATGCACATTTGCCTTCAACGAAAGCAAATGAAACACATAAATTTTGTCAGGAGGAAGAACTTAGAGGACGGTCAACCTTGTAACGACTAAAGAAAAGTTTGGATGTACGATGAAATTAATTTTGATAAGGTTAAAAATAATAATAATAAAATTAAATATTATAATAATAAAATTAAAATTAATGATAAAATATATGTTTAGATATAAATATAATGGTGATAATAAGATAAAAAATAAAATTGATTATTAAAAAAATAATTAAAAATAAATTAAAAATTTATTTTAATACATGTTTTAATTTTTTTAACATTTAAAATATTAAAAAATTAATTATTTAAAGATATAAATAGATAAAAAAATATAATGTGTAGAAATAAAATATTACTTTTAAATTCACTCATAATTATTTTAATCTTAATAAAAATTATATATATGAATAAAATTTAATTAAAAAATATTAATGAGGATAAAAATGTCCAAACTGAGCTGCGGTGGCTCACTGTCACTTTCCCCATCAGTGGAAAATTTTCACCTCATTAGTAACACATCAGCGCAATTGCAACGTAACTATATAATTTAAACAATCAATTGAAGTGTAATTGTACCAAAAAATTATTCCATCGCACTGTATCATTGGTGTGATTGAATCCAAATGAGCCCTAACCCAAGAAGGATAAGAAGGAAGAAAAAAAAAAAAAAGGCTATCAAAGGAAAACGAGGACAGAGTGCATCAGCATCGTGGAAGTGGGTTTCAAGCAACAATACCCATCAACAAAGACTATATTGACTGTTAAAGAAAAAAAATAAAAAATAAACTAAAAAAAAAAGAAAAAAAATGAAGATAAAATTAGAGAAAAACAGAAAAATATTAATTAAAAGGTTATTTAAAATAAAACTATTATTATTATTTTATTAAAGGGTAAAATGATATTTTTAATTTTATTCTTTGCTTATTCCTTGACATAATTTTAATTAATCAACTATATTTATAATATGCCTCCATTATTTCATTTTACAAACTATACTATATAATACTTAGTTTCTACAAAATTTATATGAAATTCTTTAGTGAAAGTTTGTGAAATTTTTTTCTTAAAAATGATTTAACAAAACTTTAATAAAAATATTAAATTCGATAGATTGATAGAATCTGATATGAAAATCAATAATATATAAAAAATTTATTAAAAATATTATTTATAATTCAAATTTAATCGATATTTATTTAATAATAAAAATTATATCAATATTTTTTTATAAAAATATCTATATAAAATTTATATAAAAATTTCTTTAAATTTTTGACACTTAATCTATATAACAAGATTTTTTTAATATATAAATTTTAATTTTTATTTAATAATTTTTAATAAAAAATTTCACAAAATTCACTTAAACAACTTCATTTAAATTCTACTCCCGTTAGGTTTTCATATAATATCACTTTTATTTTTTTTAATTTTATTCTTCGAATCAAATGTGCAGTTAGCCAAGCAAATTTCAAGTTCTTAGTCGAAGCCCTACTTGGAATTTGAATGGGCTGAACTTTCGTCTACTGCACCCAATTTTGGGTGGGCCACTGGTTCCCTAAACTAGTTAACAAGTCCAACTGTTTTTCGCCCTCCGAGTCCAGCTCGACCAGTAGTCGAATTGGTGAGTGGTGATGACGCAGTTCCTGGAAGTGAAAGAGGCTTGTTTTTCGAAGTATCTGCTCTGGTAGTGCACGGTATCCATTCCCATACTCCTGCGCGAGAGAAAAAGTAAGAAAAAGGGTGGGAAAATGGCGGCGACCGCGGCGAGAGCAGTGTTGGTGTCACGGCCGGTAACGTTCGTAACTGGAAATGCAAAGAAACTGGAGGAAGTGAAAGCCATCTTGGGCCAATCCATCCCCTTTCAGTCCCTCAAACTTGACCGTACTCTCTTATTTCTTTTTCACTTCTCAATTTATAAAATATTCGTTTCTTTTAGTTTTATTTTTACTTCATACATTTTATTTCTTTAGTGCCTGAACTGCAAGGCGAACCCCAAGAAATATCCAAAGAAAAGGCTCGTTTGGCTGCTCTCCAGGTTTAAATAATCATAAATATTTTATTTGTAGAAACCCAGATTTTTTTTCTAAAAAAATGTAAATTATGTTTAAGAAAGTGATTTGTTTTTTTTTTTTTTTTTGATGTCAAGGTGAATGGACCAGTGTTGGTGGAAGATACATGTCTTTGTTTCAATGCCCTAAATGGTCTTCCAGGTATTTATCATCTTTCATATTTTTATTTTTTTCCTTATTTTTTAAAATTTTTTTGTTTAATTTATGATTTTTTTTATTTTAAAACTATTTGCAGGGCCATACATGTAAGTTCAATTTCATTCTTGCTAGATTCTAAAGTTGTAAGCTTTATTCTCATTTCAATCTTATAAAAACTGGGTTTGGAATTACAATGGCAGGGAATTGATTAAAATGATTAAAATTGTAATTGTGCTTCTGTAATTTTGATATTTGGAGAGCTGAACCTAGTAAGTTCATTATTATTCCATCAGAATGAAGTCATGTTAGGCTTACTTGAAAATACAAGTGGCTAACCCTTTTGAATGGATTATTTGCATAATCAGCCAGCTTTCTGCTAGAGCTTTCGTACCGTCAATTGGTTCATTTTAGTTATTGTTTTTGAGGGTTTTGTTCAATCGACTCAATTTGAATTCTCAAATGCCCTTTATGCAATATGTATTATATACTAGCGCATGAAAGGTCATTGTTTCCACGGTGGAGGTTCATCTTATATTCGTATTAGTATAATCCCTTGCTGGAAAGAGGGAATGGCAACTGGTTTCAATTGTAATAGTCCATCCATTTTAGAAGGCTTTTTTGATATCTTCTCTTCTTGTTGGTAATATTTTGTCTTCATTTTCTTAAATTACAAGGTTGAAGTTTTTCTTTGTTTTGTTGTAATACGAACAATATTGCTTTAGATGATTTTGCAAATAATATTGTCTGTCATAACATCCATTCCTTTTCAATGTTATGTTCTCAGCATTGTTTTGTGCTTTCTAATTGTCATTATCTAATGTGTTCTGCAGCAAGTGGTTTCTAGAGAAGATTGGCCATGAAGGTTCTATTCTCTCAATGCTCTCTTTCATTTCCTTTTGTTTTTGGATTTGTTTTTTTGTTTTAAATTTTGAGCTGTTTCAAAAACTCTCCTTTGATCTGTTTACTTTACTTTCGTCACTTTTCTAGGTTTGAACAACTTGTTGATGGCATATGAGGATAAGTCAGCTTATGCTTTATGTGCATTTTCTTTTGCCCTTGGGCCTGATGTTGAGCCTATTACCTTTCTGGGAAAAACTCCGGTATGTTCAAAGATTATATTCTGCTTTTTTCCCTTAACTCTTTTATGTTTTCAACTTTAATTTTCCCAAAGAAATGGTCTCAAATATGACCATATTAAAGCACAAAGCAATTTGGTTTCCAACTGCACAAATTTTCCTTGTTAAGTGAATAAGACCAAAATGGTATAATAAACAGAGCATGTTGGTCCATGTATATTATTATTCTTTACTAATTTCTTTTGGACAATGAATGATATGAAAAGGAGAGAGAACATGGGGTGGAGGTGGGAGAAGGTGTTCTGAAACTTCAGGACATGAATTGGTTGAGTAACTAGGAATTTTCTCATTTCTAATTTATAAGCAATGTATTGTTCTTAAGGATCTGACATGGTGCTGCATTTATGTTGATGACTTCTTGGTCCATAAAAAAATAAAAAACCACGATGGTATGATGCTCTATCAACTTATTCATTTCATTCTTATATTAGTGAATATAAAATGCACCAGCACCATTTGGGAAGTAGATTTTAAACCTGGATTATAGACTGCTTCCTTGAGAGAATTTACTAGTCAGTTGATCAAATGTTTCAAGTTACTGAATTGTTGGTTCGCTCCTCTTTCCATCAAAAGTTTATATATTGAGCCTCGTACATGATGCCTAGTTTAGCTGCTTGACCAAACAGGCAAAAGGAAAATGTCTTATGTATGAAGAAAGCATTGAAACCACAGAAGAAAAATATCGAAATGATAATTATGTTCGATATAACATGGTTCTATGAACATTTAACTCTAAAATTTGGATAGAACTTACAAGAAATAATTAACAAGAGCATCTATTAGTGTTGCTTCTGGATTAAATGATGATCAGGCGTGTAGACAAATGACTTGTTTAGCATGTGCTGTATTTTCCTCAAGATTGAGGTGATAATACTGTCAACTGCTCTGAAGTTAAGCATTTCCTATCAGAGAATATTTTTAAAAAAATATATAGAAAGAGCAGAGAGAAAAGATTCAACAATGACTAAGAAGGAGACAATTGAATTTCAGGCATGCTGTGTGTTTTATCTTTGCACTCTTTATAGTTTATGTGCGGAAAGATTTGAATAGTATTGATAAGGTTAAAGTCACAATATCCTTGAGGATTTTCTCCGTAATATCACTAGTATGTAGCCAAGCTTTCCTGGAAGAAGTTGTGTGAATTTGTCCTTAAATTAACAATTACTAAGAAATAGGCTTAGGGATTTGTAAAACAAATTTGAGGGACTGGGACTATTAAATAGTTCTAGGCAGTAGATTTGAATTATGTCCAAGAGTTGTATTTGATTTAAAATGTTACTTTGCTTGCAGTCAACATTTTTCTGAGGTTTTCTTTTTGCTTTGATATCCTTTATCTGATTTTGGAGTAGATATGTGATTGTTATGTCAATGTTGCAGATACAGATATAAGACTAATTTGAGTGAAAAAATAAAATATAGTTTCTGAGATATCTACTTTTACTCTTTGGCTGATCTATTAGGGCAAAATAGTTCCTGCTAGGGGACCCAACGACTTTGGATGGGATCCTATCTTTAAACCTGATGGCTATGACCAAACGTAAGTCCGTCTTTTCTTATTTCTGTATTCTGGTTATGACCAAACCTGATGGTGAAGTCAGAATAGGCCTTTGGATGATTTAATAATGTCTTGCTTCCTATAGTTATGCGGAGATGCCAAAGGAAGAGAAGAACAAGATTTCTCACCGTTCTAGGGCTCTTGATATGGTGAAATCTCACTTTGCTGAAGCTGGATACAGTTTTAGTACCTCCATCTAAAAAGTGAGCTATGTATGTCTTCATTGTTGCCATTGCATGGTAGATTCTTATGCAGTTAAAAGCTTTTTACTATGTGAACCTTCTGATTTCTGTAAAAGGTCTGTTGGCAAAAGCGGGAAGGGTGAAAGAAATCTCTTTTCACATGGAAAACAAATATTTAATTTTATACAAATCTGTCTGCTTAGTGCTTGGTGGGAAAAAATCTCTGCGACTAAAAATATTGAGAACCGTGTTATTGAGTGCCAAATTCAGTGTTTTTTGAACAGTTTTTTTCTTGTCTATACGAGCAGAAAGGATGCAATAGTGTCAATGAGTATCCTGTATTGTAATGTTTTATGATTACAGAGCAATGACTGAATTAGTCTGCATTACTTATTTGATTTGGCTCATAAATAAACTTTAAAATTTGATCATGAAACGACAGGGATGACTAGTCTCATTTGCTCCCAAGTGACTGTTATATTTGGGATCTTATGTTTTTGTGTATGCTTGAAGATGGAATCATGATTGGTTTTGATGCTGACCACATTTTCTGTTAAGTGGTAAACAGCTAACTCTGGTAGACACCAGATCTTGGTTTCAAATCCATGCAGCCCCCTAAAAGTTCCCTTTGAAGTTGACCATTAAAAAGTTGGTGTCAAATCTTCTTTGCAGATCAACTACAGTTAGTGTATCTTTTAATTATCTTTAGGACTGCTTAACGAATTAAAATCAGTGGGAAAAGAGGTTGAGATGGATGTGATGTGACCAAGAAGTGTTGGTTGAAAAAGAGAAAACAGGCACAGCAAGTAGACCAACAAGCATCCGTTTGACATATCGACGTCAATTATGATATAATTTTTTTTTTATTTTGTGTATTTAATACAAAATAAATACGAATATATTAATTACGTATTTATTTTTCCTTTAGGTACGGATGGATTTCTAATTATTATTTCTCATTTTAATTTATCAGCTGGGTTATACAATTTTACATAACAGTGTCCCATCTGTTTACCCTCTCCATTTGCATGTTAGAAAACGACCCCATGGCTTTAAACTTTATTGAGGAATGAGATAAGGCTAGTCAGCTAATTTTCTTTTGTCCTGTTTCTATTTATAGATTGTGATTTTAGAAGAAGCAAGGATTCAGGATGAGATCATTCCAAGAACAGCCCTTATATAAGCAAATCTTGGTCCTGATTTTCTAGTTGATGTCACAAAACATGGCAAACGATTTGTCTTTGCCGTCCAAGATTCCTTCAATAACAATTGTCAATATCTCAAAACCACACAATATAGGCATATGGTTAAATTTGGATTTAATGGCAGTTCCAATTGCAAACGAAAAGAATTTATGGTTCAGCTTGAGCATTTAGTGATGAAAACGATGGAGAAGTTGGGGAAGAAGAGAGAAAAAACAATGACAGAGCTTAATGCATTGAGGCTGGTGAAGTGACAGAAGCAGTAGATTTCATGTGTCTGAACATGTTCATGTGTTTGCAGCTGCTGAAGAACTTCTCACATGGCTGCTGGGCCCCTAAACCCACATGCCTCGGCATGTGGTGATCCGTCATCTTACACGTGACTCTGTATTTGGGGCTTCTCTGCCTCACAGCCATCCGTTCAGCATGTTTTAGCCACTTTATGACGAAGCAAAACTGATATGTTATGGACAACGCATGATCTTCATTTAATCCATGCTTACTCTCAAACTACGTGGAAGGGGCAGTGATAGTACAGTGCATTAACATTTCACATGGAAATTGAGTGACCACAATTTTGGTTTTGCAAAATTTTCGGAATTTATTTATTTTATTTTATTTTTACATAAGAGGTCGAAGCTTTAAGAAAATTGAGTAATAAAAATTTGCAAGTGTTAGGATCAAATTTTAGCCCAACTGAAAATTATTTTTTAAGATAAATAGATGAATTATTTGCATTAAATCTCATAATTTTTTAAAATTTTATTATCATCAAGTATGTTTTCAACTTTGTTATGTTTGGATTTAAAAGTGATAACGGTTTGAAACAATTTTAATTCAATTTTTTTGAATATTGTATAATATTATAAATTTTGATAAAATTCAATTCGATTCGAATCAGAATCAAATTTTTATACGATCTGAATTGAATTAAATTTTATTAATTGGTTCAATTTAGTTTACTAATTTTGAAATTTTAAATTTTTTATTTTTATATATTATTTTAATATATTTGAATAGATTTATATATAAAATTATTATTTTATTTTAAAAAATTTAAAATATATAAAAAACTAAAATATATATAATTCGATTTGATTTGATTTTTTTTTAATTTTTCATCTTTGGATATGAAATTCAATTGAAACTTAATATATACATTTAATATTCAAACTTGATATGAATCAAATAAAAAAAATCAATTTGAATTGAACCGAATGTTACGATTTTGAATCAATTTTTTATTTTTTCAAATTTTTTCTCACCCCTAAATAGCTTGAGATTTTTGTAGTCGTTTGGAGGTTATGAGTTTGGAAAAAACTCATTCGCATAAAATTTTTAGTCAAATAAATATAAAAAGTAGGGATTAGGAGTAGATTAAAAAATTCAAAAAAAAAAAAAAATTTTGTTCAATTTCTATCAAATTTGTTCCAGTTCACGTTCCTATATGAGAATGAGAGATTGAGTTTTTCCATTAGCCATTAACAGCCACCTCTAGGAGTTATATTACATTGCCTTATTGGTACATTTGCCCTAGAATTGAGGGATTGATCATTTTATGTATATGTTTTAGTTGATACAGAAAAGGGTGTTGAAATTGGAGACTCTTCATTTGGAGGAAAGTGTCGGATGAAATCAGAAAGTAGTTGAAGGCATTAAACTAATTCCCATTTAAAGCAATCGGCCAGACTTCGCATCATTTTGGTTAGACCAAAAGGTGAAAAAGGTCATGATATTAGTAATGAATGGCTCTTTGGTCATGTGGGGATGCCGGGTGCGCACATGAAAGAATCACATCAGTAATGCTGGCAGAGGAAATAACATGAACAGGGAAGCACAATGATATCGAAGATGGCCACAATTGCAGAGCCAAAAAGTGAAAAAGAAAAGGAAGTTTGTTTCCTTTAAGAAAGAAACAAGCAAAGAAAAGTCAAAGGTAATAAAGGAAACATCATTGCTAATGACTATGCATCATCTGTAACAAAGTCTTTCAATAACTCAGAAGTTTGACATTCATACTATTGCTTCTATGGCTACACACAATTTTAAAAATTAAAAAAAAAATTCACCAAATCATTCAGAGCTATGAAACCAAAAGACAAAAAAGTATGCAGAGACCAAGATTGACACTGGGGATGGACCAAATGGTGGCTTAAAGAGGGAAATTGGGTGAAGCTGAGGAAGACCAGAAAAGAGCAAAAAGAAAAAAAAAATGGACAACGCTTCCGCACCTGCTTCCATGACAGATGTTTTTGCTTGAGTTGAAGCAGGCCGAGGTTGAGAAAATAAACAGATTGGTAAAGAGAATGAGTGGAGTGGGTGGGACAATATGATGACCATGCGTAAAAATTGTATACTTGTCAAAATATGTGATGATGCAGGTAGATGGGATAAAGAGACAAGGGATATTTGGTAGGTAGTGATTTAAATTTTTTAGAATGGTGGAAAAGGGAAAATCAAACAGATTGTAAATGGCAGTTTTTTCAGCCAGTTTAATTGTTTGGGGGGTATACTAGCATTGCCTGCCTCTGCGGCAGGGTAGAACACCAGCGTTGGAAGTCATGGCTCCAACCATGGAAGAGGACTTGGCTCCCAAACTTGAGGCCCTGGCATAGCTGGCAGAGGCGCCAGCTCCAGATGGAGTGAAGTAGGCACCATTAAGCAGCAAGTCTCCTTCTGACCTCCAGTTCCAGCTCTTCCACGCGCTTTCAGCTGTCTCCACTCTCTTGGTGACCTGCTTAAGCCAATCAGTCATAAAATGATCAACATATTCAGGATGTGAATCTCCACGTGAGACTAAAAGATTGAGAGATGATAGACTGATCAGACAATACCTCCTTTGCAAATGGGTTACTTGGAGCTGCATATCTGTTACCTTGGCTGTTGATGGTAGGATTTGCACTTCCACCAATAGCATACATTTCCCAGTGAGTGTAATCATTGTTCACCACATGGAAATACCCATGCCTACACCTGCATTAATCAAAATGCCATTCAATTCTCAGATCACACTTGTCTTACTTCCATTGAAATTAACATGATAACAAAAGGCTTTTAATGTGAAAGGTGGAATTAATTTCATTACCTTGGCATTCTCTGGATGAGTCCCTCTCCGAAATGGTTGTAGGCAATGGTCACTTGCATCTGCTTGTCCCTTGTATAAGAGTCACTGTGACCCAGCAATATCACCTACATTTAATCAAAGATGCAAAACAGTTAGCTTTACCATTAATAAGGATGCTGCAGATTAAAAAAAGAACTACAAGAGAAATATGCGGCAAAATTACCTCATTGTGGTGGGTGAGGTGGTTGTTGGAGATGGTAATGGCAGTTGAGCCCATGACAGCATCAACAAGACCATCAGCACAATTAGAGAGAGAATTGTGATCAACCCAGATGTGGCTTGAACCAAAGATGGAGATTGCATCGCCATCAGCCATTGTCCTCCACCCAAAGTGAGACGGTGAGCTTCTTACCATGGCATTGCCAGTGGGCTTACAATCATGAATGTGAAGACCATGAATAATCACATTGGTAACAAACTGGATTGTGATACATGCCCCATTAGCAATATGGACATTCACCCCACGACCATCAATGGTCTTAAAGCTGTTCATAATCAACTCCTGCTTCAACTGAATAACCATGTCCCTCTTGAACACAATCCAAAGAGGCTGGTCCTGGATCACAGCATGACGCAAGGTCCCAGGTTTGGGGTTAACAGGGTCATCATCACTAGAGTCAGTGACAACATAGAAGCGTCCATCACGGCCACCAATTGCATTCCTTCCAAAACCAATGCCACAGTCAGCAAGTCTCTTCCGGTTCTTTTGCCAGTTAGGGTCACAACGCCAGCAATCATCAATGGGGTTACCAGTTCCACATGAGAAGAACCCCAATTTCCTCCTTTCAGTCACATTGTGAATATTCCTGCCATCACATCAAATGTACATTGCATACATTATTATTCATTACTATTATCAAATGTTACTATTCACAGCAAAATGCATTAAAATCACAATTTGTCTTGTTCTAAAAATTCCAGGTTGTAACAAAATTATTAGCATTTTTCATTCTATCACTGAAAGGGCCTGTAAATTATTGTCGGTGGGGGTAAAGTAGCCCCAGTTAACATATCAGCTCCTCCTGTGGGCCATAATCAGATCCCAATAGGAAAGGTCTTACATAAACAGACAAAGGGTACAACGGGCATTGCAAATATAACGAGCAGGAATGCTGTTTCGTTTCATTTTAACAAAAAGAACCAAGAGTGTTTGTGTACTGTTTTAGCTTGTCCTTTCGCAGAAACAGGTAGAGGCTGTCATTTACGAAAAAGAGTAAAAAACTATAAAAAATCACTTACCCAATTTATTTCCTCCATATAAGCCAAAATAACAATAAAATGAGAAAATGACTTCCTCTGTTTCCTTCACATTACAAGCACTTGGAATTTACATTTATAATAAAAAAATGAAAGAAAACAAAAGATATTGATTGAAAAGAGGTAAAAAAAAAGAGTGGGTGGTCAAATTTGTGATGATTTATGGGAGAATTAAGTTGGAATTTGCATGAATAGACAATCAAACGTGCATATACATTCAAGTGATGTAATGAAACTTATAATAAAAGGTTAAAACTTAAAAAAGTGGTTGATTTGGACAATTTTTTTAATAAGCGTGTGAAACATTTTGTACCTTCAAGTACATGTAAATAGACGGTATTCGATGTGGGAAAAGAGAGAGAGAGAGAGACTAGGAAATTGATAGGGCCCGTGAGACACGGATCTAACCAAATTGATGAAGTTGGGTGTAGTAAAAAACAAAACACTATGAAAAAAAATTGTCATGATCAAGAATGTAACAGATTTGAGAACGTGAAGAGTTTGATTGATGATCCTATTTATATCTTTTGATTCCCTCACATTCCCCTTTTATCACTAAAAAAATGACGGGCCAATTGGGATTTTGTTGAAATAAAACATTATATCAAAATTTGGCAAAAAATGGTGTCCGTTTGGTAAAACAAACAAAACCAAACTAATTAAATGTCTATTATCCTAATAAATTGGATATTAAAGGTTCATTTAAAAGCATGATTGCAAGACTTTCATCATTTAAAAAATCTATTATGTGTTTTATAATTGAACATTTTCATAAAAATCCTCCAATCGAGCCCCAAATAAATCTTTCCGCAATTGTTAAATTGAATAAATATGAATTTTAGTAGTAAAAAAATGAACTCTGAATGTTTGTCTAAGATAAAATAACGGAGTCTAATTATTTTTTAGATCAATTAATATTTGAAAATTATCAATTCAAAAAAGTTTTAAGTGCATAATGTGTTTTTTAATCATAACTGTAATATGATAGGGGATCAAGGATAAATTAGGAATTAAAAAAAATTTAATGTAAGGTAAGAAAAGATTGAGAAAGAGAGACCCACATGTCAATGATGGTCTGGACCTCGGCAGCCACGGCCTCTGGGTCAGCGACCGCATGCTCATTCAATGGCGCAGCCTCCTCTTCCGACCTGAAATCCCGAACCGAACTTGTTAAATTTTAACCCAAAACCAAATTAATGAAATTAATTCTATATTGTAATAATTTCACAATTTTGAATATTATTTTTCTCCTTCCTTATTTCGCATTGGAAGGACACGTGTCAATTTCCAAAAGCGAGTAGAAAAATAGATGTAGACGACAGCAAGTACACTGCTCAAAGGGGACTGTCCACCAAAACTACCAAAACCGTTAAGAAAGCGTTTCGAGGTGGAAAGAGAGAGAAACAGCGAGGCGAACCGTCGGCGGCAATTTATAAAATGCCTAAAATGCCCTTCCACATTACACGACCCTTTTTTTTTTTTTTTGGGAATTGAAAGAGGCATTGTAGTAGGAGGGTAATTCTGGTTAACTAACGAAAGAAAGAAGAAATCTAAGTAACGGAATAAACGGTTGAGATCTAAGGATCTGGATCTCAACGGCTGGGATCGTTATTTATGGTTAGAATGGATAAAATAGTACACGTTCCCACGATCCAACAGTCCAAACATAAACGAAAGGACACAAAACCAACGGCTGAGATCTAAAGTTTTTAACCAAAAAAAGTCGTGTGTGAGCTTGCTTTACCTAGCTGCCATTGTTGAGTTCTTCGAGCTCTGCAGCTTCTCTGTCTCCACATTGCTGTAAAATATTTATAAATAAATAAATGAAAATTTATTCATTATTTGGATTATAATTCTCTAAAAAAGAAATAAGACAATGTGGGTAAAAATTTTGCATGACCAAAGCCCCAAAAGAAAAAGAGAAAACAAGGGAGCCTCCGTTTCTTTATTTCACTTATATAAAACAGAGTAAAATGTAGGGAGAGAAAGCTTGAAAACTGAAGTTAGAGAAAGAGTGAGAAGAGAGACCTGGAAGCGTTATCTTTCCGTACAGTGGCCATTGCTCCAACAAGAAACAAAAACAGAACAGCTAAAGAAGCGAAAACGCATTTCTTGGAAACCGCCATTGCAATTTTCTCTGCTTCTTTGGTACTTAAAAAGTTTTCTCCCTCGTTTTACCTCTATCCAAACAGACAGCCAACAAAGTAAAAAAGAAAGAGAAAAAGCTGAGAGAGAGAAAGAGAAGAGGAGAGAAAAGAAGAAGAAGAAGAAGCAGGGAGAGTCAGGGTACACGCTCCAAGGAAACGGCTTTTATAGAGCCACGAGCAAAAATAACATAAAGAAAAAGGGAAGAAAACGACGCCGTTACATACCCAAACTACTAAACGTTAGCGTTTTCTGGTTAGGTTACTTTAATCAATTAACCAAAGTTACCTACCCACCACTAACTGTCTCCCTCCGCCCTTCCTCCCTCTATCACTTGCACATCGTCGGTTCTCACGTGCCATTTCACCACGGTTTACCAAGTTAAATTTTAACTATTTAAACCCTGGGGGATAATGCCACGTCAGATATTAGGCCGTACGGGAAGCAGAATGTCACGGTTTCCTGCTGAAATTGCGGTATTGAATAAAGTGTTTAAAGCATAACAAATGCAGCGAATTTATTATTTGTAATTAAAAAAATTAATTGAAATTTTGGTGGAAACAATATTACCTGTGCGCCAATCACGGCCTTAGAGACGAAAATTTGACTCCAAACAGATTCAACTAAAAGCGAGTACCGAATTGGAATTCATACCTTTTTCTCTTGTCTCTCTCACATGGCTGTTGGTAGATACAATAATGAGTTTCCGTTTGTTGATGTTTATATTTTAAGGAATATTTATGACCTGTTTGGTCAGCGTTTATATAGAAATCAGAAAAAATTAAATTACTAAATGAAATATAGAACATTAAAAATTTGAAATAACAAATTCGCTACCTTCTTCGATTTAATGTTCACGACAACTGAATTGAATTGATACGTCGTCGTATACTTCCACGTTAAATGGTTTAGCTATTTAGTTACCTTTTTTATTAGTAAAAAAATAGATTTGATAATCATAATAAGAAAATAATATTAAAAAATATGAAAATGGCATGATTTAAATTTTAGTAAGATCATATTGATAAAAAATATTTTTTTTGTATTTTATGTTAAGATAAATTATAATACGTAATTTTTTTTATGTAAAATGTAATAAAAATAAATGAATTATTCATGTTTTATATAATATAAATATACAAATTATCAGATTTATAAAATATTGAAGACAGTCAAATTATGGAGGCTTTGAATTCTTTAAACCACATTTGGCTGTATAAAAATATAAAGATTTTCAAAGATAAAAAATAAAGAAACTGAACACAGAAGCTATGGTACATGTGAACTTGGCAAAATGAGGGTAAAGGCCTGATCATATGCATGATTTGAGGAAAGGAAACACAAAGAAATGAAAATACTTATATATAGAATAGTTAAATTATACGCCAGTGTTGAAGTTCAAAAATTCCGTTTCCTATAAATGTTTTATTTTAGTGTTACATAAATTAAATGATACGTGACAATAGTCTGAATTTATTTATGAAATTTAAATCTCAATAGGTCGATGCATACATAATTAATTAAAAAATAAATAATATAAAAAATTAAAACAATATATTTTAAATATTTTTAATGTAATTGATTCATATTACAATTCTTAAGAAGGGATATTTAATAAATTCAAATTTCAAAATTTACCAATTGCAACCCCTATTTTTATTCTCAAACTGTAACATTTTATATATAAAAAAAAAAGTCTTAACTCAAAATTTTCTATGTCATAGATGCTTGTTTCGAGGGAGAAGGTTCAACAATATTCAGGTGGGACTATGATTTTTTTGACCTGAAAATTCTACTATAAATACGTCTCCATCGTAATTAATTAGTTTCATTATTTGATTTGATTTTTCCAAGGAAGCAACAAATTAATCCTTTATAATTCTAGTCAATTTTTTTTTGGACTAAATGAAGCTTACAACTTTCACATTCCTTGAAGTAATTTTTCTCTACAGAATCATGTGATTATTTTTAATATTAATAATAATTATGAGTTTAATTATATCAGTCCAAAAATTGAGTCAAATGGATAGTCCAATCTCGTGAAAGTTTCAAAATCCATCCCAATTTTGTGGATTAATTAAAAAAAAATGGTTTCACAACATTGATTTATGGGATATTTGTCTTCTTTAAGTAAAACAAATTTCATAATGGAAAGAATTTGTTCAGTTCACAATTTTGTTCTACCATTTTTATAGTAAAGAAAATTCATAAAGAAATACTAAATTATTAGTGAAAATCACATTAAATTTTGAGAAATACTAATATGAACATTTAATTAAAAATGAATAAATAGGAATCATAGGATTGTTCAAAACTAGAAGTTGTTGGATTACTGCAAAATTTTAAACTTGAATTTAAAATTAAAAGTTAGTAAAACATATATTTTTGTATAAAAGAAATCGCGATTTGAAGATATGAAAATGGCTTGCGTAAGTACTAAGTTCAAAATCATTTTGTGACAATAAAAACAACATACATGAAGAGATGAATCAACATTTTTGTTTGGGTGGCCATCATTGATAAATGGAAGTAATATCGTTTTGAAGTGATTAGATTTTATCCTTCACTCTTTTTTACTGATCATTCTTAAAAGTAGATATCGTGTAAGGGTAAAAAAAAAAAAATTAAGAAAATTTGAAATTTTAGTGTTCGAGTAAGTTTGAACAAAATTTTTTTTATTCAGTTCGAATTAAGTTTATATATTAAATATATATATTAGATTCGAATTGAATTTCGAATCGAGAAGTAAAAAATTAAAAAAAAATCGAATCAAACCTAATTATATATTTTTATTAGTTTTTGTATATATATTTTAAATTTTTATAAAATAAAAAAATTATTTTACATCAAAATATATTAAAATTTTATATGAAAATAATTTATTAAAATAAAAAAATTGATTTCAAAAATTGATAAAACTGAACCGAATTGAACTAGTAAAATTCAATCAGTTTGTATCAAATCATTTGAAAGATCGATTTGGATTTGGAGTGAATTTTTAAAATTTATAATATTATAAAATATTTAAAAAAAGAACCAAATCCATTTTGATCTAACTCATTATCATCTTTAATTATTAGAAGTAAATATGAGACCTTAGCCTATTTCATTAAAATCCTATAATCAGCTCCATCACAAGTTTATTGAGCCAAAGGCCTGCACAATTGTTAAAACTAAACTAGCTCAATAAAACATGCAAAACCCACACATAAGTGATCATTTTAAATTATTTAGACTCTTATACTTGTTTCATATTAGAACTAAATTCATCAATTAATTTTATTAAGTTATTAAAATTATCAATTAATAATAACTCATTTACTGAAAAATTATAATAGATTATAGATATTAAAATTTAAAACACAAATCTATAAGATGCCACTTTCTAAATGTAATTACATAAATCATATGAAAACCTATATATTTTCATGAAAAAGGTACAACTAGTACATGAACTTTAGAGCATGAGACTAATTGTTTGGCTCTTGAATTTATTCCAAACTAAACCCAAAATTTTTCCATCCCCTCCGTGCCATTGCAACCCATTCAACTACAAGTCAACAAGGTGGGAACAAAACAAACTTTTCAAATCTTTGCCATTGCAATGTTAAACCCAAGAAGATGATGTGTTTTTAATATTTCTTTTCAAACCAAAAGAGAAGGGTAAATTGGAATTTAAAAATAATCTTAAAATTTCGAGCCACAAATTTTTTTTTCACCATTGCCCTTTTAGGGCACGATCATGTTCCCGTGACATGTGGCTCCCATCACGGCAACTTCTCCACGCTTTAAGACACCCATCTTCTATTTGCAATTTTACCCTTCTTTGCCCAAAAAGGTGAAAACAGTTCATCATGATGCAATTGCTACAATTTGGACCATTGTTGTGTGGACCAACTAAGCTCTCATGGGTTAGTTATTTTGGCTTTGACTTTTGTGAGTTTGGAAGTTAAAATAATTATGAAAGTTTAGTAAACAAAGTAATGATCTAGAGAACCATCCATTCTGTGATCCAATGGTCAATTAATAAACTAAGCCATTTTTTTAAAATTAGATGAATAAAAGGAAAAAATAATAAAATAGAAATGTTATGTAATTTTTGAATAGTTAAATAGTTAGAATATTAGGTAAATATTTTTTTTCCTGGTTTTTGGTAATATGATATGATGATGTGTGTCTTTAGATTTTATTTGAGTTAATTTCTTCTTTGAATGTACTCACTTATATCGATTTGATGCATTTAAAATTTTATTTATAAAATGTTTTTTCATAAAAATTAAACTCTAATGTATATGAAAAGAGTGAAAAAAAATGTTTTTATCAACTAAACTAATCCATATAAGTGAATATAGAATAAAATAATATTATTAAAAATTATTTAATATATTATCAGTTGAATTTTTTAATTTCATAATCAGCATTAACATGATGATATAATTTTTATTTTTTAATTAATTTTTAATTTTTAATTTTTAAATATATTTTAAAATATATGTGTCATTTTATCAAACTATTTATGAAATTAAAAAATTTTATTGTCAATATATTTGATATTTTTTCTTATTTTATAAATGATTACTTTTTATATTAATCATGGATATTTAATTTTTTGTTTATATAATTAGAATTTTAACAATTTGTTAGTACTTTAATCGGAGATTACTCATTTTGGTAACTTAGCACGCAACTATTAATGGGAAAACTTTTCTTATAAAGTTAATAATGATATTATTGTTGGCAAAAAAAATTGATATTATTCTTCAAATTCTACCCTTTTGCTACAATTATTTGATTCTTCTTATTTACCCTTATCCAACTAAACACGTTCATGATTCTTTTTATTCTAAAACAAAGTAATTAATTTGATTTGACATCAATTTTCAAATCATTCAAAAAATTTTGACATAAGATATTAATTATATTATTCCAACTAGCATTGACTAAGAATCAAATTGTATAATTTTTAGTTTAAAAAAGTTAGACACCCATTATGTAAACTTATATACTACTAAATTTTCTTTTTGATTAAAAAAAACCACCAATTGTTGCATTTTTTCTTTTGAAATATCCATTTAATATGTTTTTCATTTATGGGTAAAATTGTAGTCGGACTT